CATGACATCTGAGCATTGTGACCTTCAGTCATTTGAGGATGAATTCTTATCTCTGCTTTCAGATTTCTTTCTTGTTGTTGCAAAGCTAATGTATAGAAAGAGCTTTGTATTGCTAGCAAAGTAAAATGGCAGCAGTGCTGTCAATCCAGAAGCTGATTTCAGGAACAGGTCACCTGGTTTCATTCCCACTTCTCTTCTGGCAGTGTGGCTCCTAAAGGACTCATACACATGAGAGTGAAGGGGTGAAGGAGGGACAATATGTGTTTCCGTTCAGTATTCTTAAAGGCTGTGACACACTGCACGCGAAGCAGAGCGGAGCGGTGGCGTGCTACCTTCGCGTGCAGTGTGTCATGTTTTTCTCAATTTTCTCTCCGGCATGTCAGCTTGCGGTTGTTACGCGTTAGCCGATTGGCTGAAGATGCAGTCATTCATCTGGCTGCACTTCGTCACACACTACATGCGAAGCTCTATGCCTGACAGTTTTGCTTCGCTCTGCACGGCTTCGCATGCTGTGTGTCACATTGCGCAAGGCACCCACCTTGCATTAATATAGCGGGAGGTGCGTTGCTTTGCCATTTATTTGAATGGCACCCCAAACGCACCCTCTGCCCACAAAGCGGAGTACTGCAATACCATGTGTTGCGGGGGCTTGCATTTAAAGTGACGCTGAACTCAGGAGTTAAATAAAAAATGTATTCAAGTTCCTTAAAGGAGAACTATGAGGGGAGTGCTTTTCACTCCTCCTCATAGTTCTAGCCGACCTGTGACAATGAGACTGTCACAGGTCGGCTCTGTAGATCGGGAGGTGAGCGAATACATACCGGCGTTCGCTCACCTCTCGATCCTGTCACGGGTCTCTGCCGTGACAGGGGAGGGGCTTGATTCCCCCCTCCGCCAGCGCTGACTGGCGGAACGGACGAGGGAGGGGGCGGGTACAGCTGGCTCTGCCTCTAGATAGGAGGAGCCAGCTGTCACTCACGCAGCTGGGCGGATCTCGATGTCGGGATCCGCTCCGGCTGCGGCGTCTCCGTATACCGCGAGCTGTAGCTCCCTATATACTGAGCCTAGGGTGGCGGGAGGACGCTAGTTTGTGTCCTCCCGTTACCCTAAGGAGAACTATGGGGGAAAAGCCCTGACCGCATAGTTCTCCTTTAACTGGTGAGCCAAACACTTCTTACTGCTTATAGCCCCGTTATTGCTCCTTTAATGGGTGAGAATCCAATGATTGAGGAAGTTACAATGTAACAGAGGAGGTGATCATTGTACGGCTCGGGGGTTCGCTGTGTGAGAGGGAAGAATGGTAACAATATTGTGGAACCTTCCATCCGGAATGATGCAGGAGCAGAGCAGGGAAATCTCCCCATGCTGAGGCCACACACACCCCGGACACAATGTATCTGGCAGCGGGGAGACTCCGGAAATGGTGATTTTCCTCTCCGGGGGTAACGCTGTACGGCCGCAGTGGGCGCACTCGGGAGGCCGGCCATTAAAGGAGAACTATGGGGTCCGGGCTTTTCCCCCATAGTTCTCCTTAGGGTAACGGGAGGACACAAACTAGCGTCCTCCCGGCACCCTAGGCTCAGTATATAGGGAGCTACAGCCCGCGGTATACTGAGACGCCGCAGCCGGAGCAGATCCCGACAATTGCGCCGGGATCCGCCCAGCTGCGTGAGTGACAGCTGGTTCTGCCTATCTAGAGGCAGAGCCAGCTGTACCCGCCCCCTCCCCCGTCCGTCCAGCAAGTCAGCGCTGGCAGATCGGAGCAGGGAGAGGGGAATCCAGCCCCTCCCCCTGTCACGGCAGAGAGCCGTGACAGGATCGAGAGGTGAGCGAACGCCGGTATGTGTTCTCTCACTTCCCGATCTACTGAGCCGACCTGTGACAGTCTCATTGTCACAGGTCGGCTAGAACTATGAGGTGAGTGAGAAGC